AAGAAAAAGATCAACCACAAAAAGTACTATTTCTCGTTCCCGAGATATCTGCATTTAACTATCTTGAAGTAGCGTTGCGAGTTCAAGCTCGCGCGGCGGACGAGGTATGAGAAATCCTGCGGCACACTGAGTTGTTTACAACCGTTGCATTTGTGATTTTGACCGCATCCACAGCTATGTCCGCCTCACACACTCTTCCTTGCACGTTTCATACGCCACTTTGTCAGTATTGTGGCTCAAAATGTACGTTTTGCTCTAATTCGGGTCATTTAGCGACGTGCCTACTGATGCGCGCGCCGCAGGATTTCTCATACCTCGTCCGCCGCGCGAGCTTGAACTCGCAACGCTACTTCAAGATAGTTAAATGCAGATATCTCGGGAACGAGAAATAGTACTTTTTGTGGTTGATCTTTTTCTTATCTTTGTTTCACGGGGAATTTTTTAAGACGTTTCCCAGCAAATTTGGTGGTGCAACTAACTTTCTACGATAAATCAAAGGTAAGGTTATTTCGTATCAAACACTATTTTTACTTTTTAAAAGAAAGTAAAGGAAGTACTTTTTGTGAAATTTTCTCCTCTTTCCAACGGTATGCTTGGTTTCTCGATCCGATGGATATTACCGAAACTGTGAGCGAAAAACTGTCTCCGTGTCGCTGTCCCGGCACCATATTTAACCTCTCAATATCTCGGCTTCTAGATATTTTTCGACCAAACGCTTTTGGATTTAGTCATCCCACTACTAGACCTACGATTTGCGTAAGTTTCGTCCCGATCCGAGACCATGCCGTTTTGTGACTGACTCAGTTGGCGTGGAATCACCCTTCAGCGCGCGTCGTGGTGGGGGCGTGGCGCGGCGCGGCGTGGCGTGGCGGGGCATTGACCCGACCGGGTCAAGCGTGTCTTTTACGGACGCCCCCTTCCTCCTCCTACCCCCGAGGGGCGTGGCGGGGCGTGGCGGGGCGTGGCGGGGAGGGCTTCGCACGCAGGCAAGCACAGACAACCTCGGTACAGAGAGAGCGTCAAGCTGCGAGAGGCGTGCGGACGGGCGGGCAGACGGAGACGGACGGACGGACGGACGGACGGACGGACGTTTGGACAGACTGATAGTCGGGCGGGCCGAGCACTGGCCCCAGCCACCGCACAGCAGGTACCGATGGGTACCAATGGGTTGCCAGCCCGTCCGGTTGGGTTGACTTGGGCCCGGTCCATTCAAACACCACCAGCGGTCTCACTACATGTCATACCACGGTAAGGACCATCACGGCCGAGGCGCATCGGGGGAAAAATGCTCGCAGCCCGTATCACAACAAATAAACGCCAAAGAAAAAGTAAACAGAAAATACACGACAAGAAAAATGCAAAGAGCGAAATGAAAAGCAGCCAGATTCTCTCTCCTTGCAGTGCAGCGGGGCGAAAAGGCGCGGTGTGGCGCGGCGTAGCGAGCGCCCCATGCCATCCCATCCACCCCCTCATTACGAGCCGCGGAGGGCGGCGCGGGGGCGGGGCGGGGCGGGGCGGCGGGGGCACGCGAGGACGGGAAAGCCTCCACCGCCGCCACTCCGCAAAGCTCGCAAAGCCAAAGCCCTGCAGACGGGCTGCACTGCGTGTGACTGCACCGCGCCATCCTCCTGAGGGACTCGCTGAGGGAGGCCGCTCCGGTCCGTCACTCGGGGGCAGCAAGCCCCGCAAGCCCACCCCAAGGCATAAAAATTTTACTGGAAAATTGTGGCGGGCTGACTGAATAATATCTGCCAGCGCCCGCCGCTCATTTTATCCTTGGGGTTACGAGTGGAGGGGGCTGGAGGGCGGACGCCGGCAATGCGGCCGGACCGCGGGACGCACCGCGGGGCCGCGGCCTGCCTGCGCGCTGCGTGGCGCTGCGTGGCGCAGCGTGGCGCCCCAACCACGCACGACACTTCGCAAACGCGCAAACGGCAGCCCTGGCCGGACCAGGTCGCCGCCGGCAGCGAGAATGGCTGCGAGGCAGGCAGCACCCGCCCGCCCCCCTGAGGGACCCGAGGGGAGGAGAAAATACAATTTTGGCCTTTACCGTCGCTCCCGGCCTGGCGGTCTGGCGGCCCGAAGCCCGAGCGCCTAGGGGAGAGAAGCAGCTCCACGCATCTCGGCTAGGCGCAAGGCCGCGCGAGGTTCGCCCTGGCCGGTCCTCGCGGAGCATCAACGACCAACCCTCCGCTCCGCGGCGCGCTGCAAGTCAAACGGCGACGCCTGGCGCCCCAAACCACTGCAGCGTCTGCACCTTGACGGCAGGAAGAAAGGCAGCCAGGCAGGCAGGGCCCTCGCGGGGGCCGAGCGCGGCGAAGGGAAGGGAGGGGAGGCCTTTCAATGAGCGCGGAGGGTGGCTGGCTGGCTGCGGCGCACTCGCCACCCCGCGCGCACCCTCCGCGCCACGAAGTACAGGAGGTACTAGTAGCCCTCCCCTCCCCCACCCCCGGGCCAGATAACAATGTCATCTTCGCCTTGACTGAGCGGGTCCACGCTCGCTGGCTGGCTGCGCGGCGCAGCGCGGCGTGGGGCGGGGGTGTGTTCCCACTACCCTCCCAGCCTCGCCGGGTTCGCCGGGCTCGCCGCAGGACGCCGCGCCACGCCGGCCGAGAGGGCGCGTCGCGAGCGGGTGGTGTGGGTGGTGGTGCGGTGGGGTGGGGCGCCTTGGTCGTATCGACACGGTGCGGCGCCCCCACCGCGCCACCCCCACAAGCGGTACACAGACAGACACAAGGGTGCCACCGCGGCGTGGCGTGACGTGGCGTGACGCGCGACTCCGCCAACGTGACGAGGCCGTCACGGCAAGTCACGCGGCGGTGCCTTGGTGGTTCCTCGGCGGTGGCCCGCCGCCCTTCCCCGCCCGCACGCGCCCCTTTCACTCACTCGGGCCGCCGCCACCGCCGCCACTCAAAATCGATCGACAGGGCATCAATCAAAATCAGTCGGCGCCCTCCCCGCCCCTCGCCTGCCCTGTGCCGCTGGACGTCGTAGCACGTCGAGGCACGGCGCCGCGCGTGGCCAGCGTGCAGACATCCCGGCCGAACCAGGACACGGCGCGGCACTCCACGCCACGCCATGGCGCGGCCAGGGCGGCCAGGGCGCGCTGGTCACCCGATTGCGTATCTCCCCGGCTGAGATAAGCTGGCGGGCGGGGCCGCGTAGCCGAGCAGCGGCGTCGTGCCAAACCACCACACCGCCACACCGGCGAGCCCCGGGCCGGGCCGGGCCCCGGGCGCGTCAGCAGGCGGCCGCCGAGCCGTCCAGGTGCATGGTCCCCATGGTGCAGTTGGTGCAGTCGCCTGCACCCGGCCCTGCGCGCGTCCCGCGGCCCACGGCGCTTTATCTTGGCAGTGCAGGCGCTGTCGCCGTGCTCGCTGCTCGGCGTGCAGTCGGGGCCATTCTCCTCGATAGAGTCCCGAGAACCGAGCCTCTTATCCCTCCATTTGCACTAATTTCCTCCCGTCACGACGCGCCGCCAGGCCGGCAGGCCGGCAGCCAGACCACGGCGACGACGGCGAGGACACCGGTGCGAGGGCCCCGGGCCCCGGCGCCGCGTCGCCGAGCCCGTCCCGATTCGTTACCGGGGTTTGGGTTCGGGTACGCCTTCGGGCCGCGCCTTCGCCTTCGGACTCGTCCATACGCCACGGCCACGGCAGCCACGGCAGCCACGGCCGGCCGCTGCACCGCGGTACCGGCAGGCCCGGCCCGAGGTACCCGCTGCAACCCGCCGGGTAAAACAAACCAAGGCGAGGCGAGGCGAGGAGGGGCGGGGGGAGGAGGCGTGGCGTGGCCGGCGGAGGCTACAGCCAACGGCCCTCTCGTTTTTTTCCCGTCGCCCGACGCCCCCTCCCTCCCCCTTCCTTTTTTACGGCGAGCAGGGCAGAGCAGGGCCACGCTGCAGTCTACCTAGCCACCCGCTCAGGTATCACCGCCTGCACTTGGATGCAAGCCCGTCTGCCGGGCCGACTACCTGGCTGGTCGGCTGCCCGCCTGCTCCTCAGACAAGGGCAAGGGCCCCCTAGCACTTTCATTCATTCTCTGCACTACTTTCGGGAAATAAAGCAAACGCTCGGCGGGCCCCGTCTGCTGTCGCACCGTCGCCACGCCGCGGCCAGAGAGACGAGAGGATGGATCCGAGCTGAGCCGCAACGCCGGAACACGTCAAGCTGGCTGGGTTTCGGCTCGGCGGTCTCGGTCGAGCGTACAGGTGCAGATATCACCGGCGTGGCTACGTCGGCTACGTCGGGGCTACGTCGAGGTGGGAGGCTGCCTCGCTCCTCGCTGCCTGGCTGCGTCCGAGGCAAGGTGAGGCTGGGGCAGGGCGGCCAGGGCAGCCGTGCCGTGCCGTGCCTTGGCCTTCAGCCGGACGTTCGCTTCTGTTCATGCCACGGCCCGGCCGTCCCGTCCGCGGGGCGGCGCGGTGCGGTGGAAGGGCGGGCCTTACGCCGGACCGCCGGGCAGAGCGCGCGCACACGCACACACCGAGGCTTCGGCGTTCCCGCCCTGCCGTCCCGTCCCGCCTCTACGCCTACAAACTACGGCGGGGCCCAACTTCGCCTGGGGGCCGTCCACGAGCAAGCAGATTAAGGTGGACTAGCCATTTCTACTTGGACAGCGAGGACCACAGAAATCACCAACCTCACAAGGAAGCGCCACAACTTGGCTGTCACTCATAGGCCAAGCCTCCAGCAAATGTTAGTTTTGTCACAAAAATTTGTGATGAATTTTCTTAATTCATCCAAATGACTCATGAATCAACTGACTACAGTGACAGTCTGAATCAATCTTTCACTTTTCACTTGTTTGTCTACTTGAGACGTAATGTGTGTGTTACTGCAGAATATTTTATCTTAAAGGACACATTCTCTATGAACCTTTCCTCGACTAACACTTAATTTTTGAAATATGTGGATTGACATGACAACCAGCGATGGGAAATTAAAATATCAAAATAATAGTATCAGTGACATAGAAAAATGGTGTAGAGGTGTACTTACCCTTGGTCTATCCTGTCAACAGGGTTAGGCCCAGGGCCCATTTGTCCAGGCATGAGCCCATGAGTAGGCATTGGGCCAGACATGGGGTGCCCAGGACCCGGTCCATGTCCATAAGGTGAGCCAGGCGGCATGCCGAACTGTGGTCCACCAAACGGGCCTTGTCCAGGAGATGGGAAATGGGGTTGGCCAGGCCCCGGACCAGGAGGTCCCACAAATGGAGGTCCTGAGGAGCCAGGCCTCCCAACAAACTGAGGTCCACCTCCCGAAGGAGAACCAAACGGTCCTGGCCCTGGTCCATTGTAAGGAGGTCCACCAGAGTTGGGCGTTGGGGGAAACCGGGGATCATTTTGAGGCGGTCCAGGCCCAGGGGTAGATGAGCCTGAAGGTGCTGGCGATGCTGTGTACTGGGGGGTGCCAGAGCCAGGTGGTGGTCCAGAGTACGGAGGAGCACCTGCAGGGGAGCCTGCACCCCCTGGAGGGCCCTGGAAGGGCGACGGTCCCTGATATCCAGAAGGAGGCCCGGAGAAGTTCTGCCCAGAGTTGGGCGTGAAGTTCTGTGGCTCCGAGCCAGGGGGCGGACCCTTCCAGTTGCCCACCGGATCCTCCAGTGTGGCAGGCAGCGTGTTAGCAGAAGCTACACGGCGGGTACAGCCTGAAAGAAAATGAACATACTCAGTAAAATAATCGTTCACAATCACAATATGACAATAAATTAGCCGCGTTGAGTAACAAATTATCGTGCTTCGTAAGTGACAAAACTGGATGATTGAACTACGAACAACCAGATCACTACAGCAACAAAAGCAAAGAGCTGAGCGGCAGAGTAATTTTGTGACAGGGGTTCCGTTAGGAAGCAAGATCAATTGGATAAGGGAACTTTATTTCAAATACCAAACTATTGGCAAAATGAAACAGTAAACAAATCAAATCTCAGTCCTCAACTGGATAATGTGTGCACGGTAACAAAACCATTGCTAGAATGAAATGAAGTAAACTTACTCTTTTTTGCCATTAAGAAGCCTCCCTTTCACCGGGCTGGTGCTTGACACACTGCAGGTACATATGACGTCCTAGGCAAGCAGGACGTGGACGTGCTCCTTCGTGTCCTCCTCGATGCACATCCCTACCACTGCATTGCACTTCTCTTTGGCTTTGGCTTTGCCTTGAGCACAGGCCAGAGACCGGGCCCCGGCACGGCCGTCCCACCAAGCACTTCACACCAAAACCGCACTTCCACTGGCACTGATTTCACTGTGATTGCACTTCCAGACAGACGAAGTACTTCTTCTTGCAGGAGGTAATCCAAAGTTGAGCCACTTTCGCATTTTATACGAAACACTGCACTTTGCTGAACTACGAGGTTATGTTTTCACCGCAGGCTACAGACGGACGTCGGCTTGCAGCCCGATTTGAGGTTTGCACACAAGTTTTCACTAAAAACACAGCATTCTAAGAGGAAAGTCACTTGGCACGGCAGTTCGATGCGCACAGGAGTCGATTTAATCCAAGATATCCGTCCGAAACACACATCGCGTCCCGGGGGCTGAGTCTGTCAGTGCGAGTCGGATCGAGACCAGCCGAAATTTGTTTTTACACATGGGGTCCAGGCAGGCGGCAGGCCTACGCTCCCGAGCACCGCGGCCACTGGACCTTCGGGTACGCGCACTACGCGGGCCCCGGCGTCGCGAGTTGACTAGAAAAACACTCCACAAGCCTAGGCGTAACACTCAGCCGCAAAAACCGCATCTTCTCCACATATTTTTTCAGAAATTCATTGAGTTGTCGGTTCCGCTCGCTGCCTGCCTCTCAAGAAGCGCAGCAAGCAGCAAGTAAACACCACCGGAGTCAAGTTGGCGGCGACAAGTCCAAGCCGACACGGCGTTTCGTTCGGTATCTCTTTCCGTAGAATTCGAGCAGTGCAAATTGAGTTGAATATGAAATGGTCATTTTATTATTCTTCCGTGGACAACGTTCAATTCATGTTTAGAGTGAAACATTCACTCAAGGCACACGCTTGACTACAACTGCGGCGCCCGAGTCAAGCGACGCTCTGTAGACACAGAGCACTGGAAAAAAAAGGAGGCGAGTGAAAAATGCACTCCGTGTAGGCGCAATTTTTGTCTTGCCATTATTTCGATTGAGAGCTGTCCGTTTAATCTGTCAGGGAGTGCAAAACTTAGAATATCCGAACAAATCGGATGAGTCGCACTTGGGTTTAAAGAACACCACTTCGATTTTGACAAGCGAGAAATGCACCCCGCCATCACGGGGGGAAGGAGGGGGAGGGGGTACCGTGCAGAGCCCGAGCCGCACCTCCGTGCGGTCCGTGCGCCAAGTTGATAGTTGGATCACTTTCAAAGGGTTGCCCGCAAATTAAATTATTTATAGACAAATGTTACGCCCACCTTGGCGTATTCTCGCGACGTTCCGCTGCGGCCGGCCTGCAGCGGGGACCTTGTCAACGGGTGTCAAGAGCTTTCTTTCGGGTTGGACGGCAAAAATAATGCTGCAGCTGAGGCAGGGAAAATAATCTTGTGAATCGCGCTCGTGCTCTCAGTACAGCCCGCCTACGCCGCACGTGTACCACACGCTGGCAGCAACGTGAGAGCGTGACTTAGCGCACGCAGCGAACCGGCGGATGCACTGGCATGCGAACACCGCTCAGTCGGCGTGTAAAATTGCCTGTAGGCCCAGATGGGGGAAGCACCCTTCTTCCTCTCTCTCCCAGGGACAACCAACTCCCCGCGACTTTCATTTGGAATAGGGCCATATCATCGGGTTTTCCCTCCAGAACGGCGACTTGGCAATTTCTCTTGCAGGCTGACCATGAACGCGACGCTCCGGCGCTGCGGCTCACCTCAGAGGGAAGGACAGATCCCAGATCCCCCAGACTTCACTATTTCAGTATAAAATGTGTTGGATTTGGGTGGTACTAGTGAACTCAACTGCACCATTAGGCACACACTTCAGTTAATTAAAAGAAAAATCCAGTGCCATTTATTAGATGGTAACTTTCTAGTTTCTAGATGCTATGATAAAGACTAGACATCATTATCATTGGTATAACTTAAACACATTGGAACTGTACCTTAAAAATCAAAAACTTTAAGCACTTGAGAAAAACTTTAAAAAACTAAAAGAACCCATGAATTGATCAACAACTTATTTACCCAATTAATTGAAACATAAGCAAAGAAAACTTATGCTACTTCACAGGAGTTGGTAAACAACCTCATCTTCGTCACTGTCACACTCCATTTCAAAGTCTTCAAATATGGTTTTCTCTAGATTCAATGGCTGCTGATTGAGATCATTATCAGTTGAGAATAACAATGATTCAGTCTTATCGTCCTGTGAAGTCACATTGTCTCCACTTTCACTCTTCACATCTTCTTTAACTTTACTTGACACAACATGCTTTTTGGATTTGACTCGTGGTCTCTTAACTTGATGGGCATCATCATTGTGAGTAGCCCGGTGGTTAAACAAATGTTGGGGTGTTTTGAACGCCCTCTCACAAACATTACATTTGAAACGCCTTTCTGTTCCATGCCAAAGTGCGTGCAAATTTAACAACTTTTGCGTATGGAAAATTTTAGTACACTTGTCGCAATGAAATTTGTCCTTGTAATGAAGTCTTTCATGTTCTCTCAATGAATCAGCTGTTGTGTAAGCTTTAGGACATTGTTTACATTTATGAGGAGTAAGACCTGTGTGCACATTAATGTGCATCATCAACTGAAAGCCTCTGGAAAATCCCCTTTTACATAGAGTGCACATAAACCTATGTTTACAAGAATGTGCAGTCCTGATATGATCGTTTAAGCGCTGCATACCTTCAAAACTTTCATCACAGTAGAGGCATTGATGACTAGTAGAATGAACAAAAGTTACATGATGATTGAATAGGGCCAATGTTTTGAAAAGCTTGTCACAAGAGGTACAATTATAACCCTGTGGAGTTTCATGTTCTGCAATCACATGCCTCTTTAGTTGTCTTGCAGAGCTAAATTTCTTGCCACAAATTACACATTTGTGGCTTGATGAAATGAAAGCCTTTGAACAATAACCAGAAGGTCTGAAAGAACAAATTTTCATTAAATTAAAAGACAGTAGTAAAAAAAGATACACCACTTTCAATCGCAGTATATGAATAAATCTTACTGTGAATGAGGAATGTTTTGATGAGGTGATGATGAGTTCTTTTCCTGAAGAGCGAAAAGGTATCTGCAATATTCGTCAGCAAAGTGCTCTGGTAATTCTTGCAATATTCCCTTGAAACTTGCCATTTCTATATTACCAAGAATCATTTTCAAATCTGCCACATCAATGGGTCCATCTGACGTCTGACTTAAATTAACCTGTTTTTGTTTTTTGCCTACTTTAGAAGAGGTTTTAGTGGTATTAGATCCATTGGATGTTTTTGTTTTAGCGGGTTTAGGAGAGCTAATTTCAGGGACATATTCTTCATCAGATTCATTGTTCGCATTCTCTCTTGAAAAGATTTCCTCCTCATCAGAGTAGTCATTTTCATCACACATGGGAGAAAAAGGAGTCACTTCCTCAAATGAAGTATCATCGTCAGAGGCAGAACCACTGGTCTTCTTCTTTCGTCTCAAGCTTCGAGCAATGTTCGTTTGCCCATTTTGCGGCTTTCTACAACTCCTAGCCAGAGTTTGTCTGAGCTTCATCTTTGACTGTCAGTAGCAGTGGCACACCTGAAACAAAACTGGCAATAGGTCAAGTTGTTCATTTAAATTTCCAGAGGACTGAGCATAAGACTAGGCATCATGGATTTGGAGGGATGGATGCCTTTGCAGCCTTGCATCATGCATTGACTATCCTTGTCTCATGCATCAAGCCACATCACACCTACAAGTCTAACCTAGGGAGTTGTCGAAAAATGTTTCTCAATTTTGATGTGGTACAAAAATTATGAGGCAATGATTTTGGGCAAAGACCAGTAAGGTCGAGGATCTGACTGACTTCAGCAAACTGCTGGAGCTGAGTCGGCGAATAATATAACTCGTTATGTGCTACCTGTCACTCACCAAGCAGGGTAGAATGTACATGTATGAAGGAGCCTTGAACGATTGTAATGACATTCTCTAGTCAGAAAAATTGTCTCTCGAGCTGAAATGTCAGTTTTTGCTGGGCAAACCAACCAAACCTGAACCTTCAAATTACTTCAAAATATTAGTGCACCGTCATTTGTTCTTTTTAGTAGCGTTTCCAAGTAGAAGTTTCTCATACCAAGTGCCACAAGGCCACAGTAGCCTCGCACAGGGTTTGCTCGCGTCTCCAGAAAAAAAGTTGAAGGTGAAGCGGGAAGCGGCAGGCAGCTTTGAATCTGGGCTAATATCTGTCAAGGACAGAGCAAAAAGCCCTCAGAGCATCCACTAGTCCAGCGGGCTAGTTGTATTTCTGGTGTTTGAATAATTGTTGGAGGCTCCTCACCAATGAATTGAGACTTTTCTCAATTTTTACTGTTAAAGTGGAAACACTCTGAGGATCACCGCTCTAATCCAATGAATTGCTAACTATGTTTTCCTTTTTTTCGATCACTAAGTTTTCTTCTTCTCCTTTGTAATTGAAATTTTGAGTTTTGTGAAAAGCTAGGTTGTAACACAACATTTAAGAGACCAGAAAAATTGGCACTTCCAAACCCCAACCAATGCGCTCTAATATTGTTCACGATATATTTAGGGGCAATATAACTTGACCAATTCTTACTTCTAACCAATCTGAGGAAAAGAACAACGTGTTTTATGCAGCTGCAAATGCATTTATTGTTTCCTTAAAAGGTCATCAATAATAAAGCACTTTACATATAAGTGTTTAGGCTTATGAACATGTCAAATGGAATGATTGAAGGTTTTCCATCATCATAAAGGCAGTGCTAATTCAGTAACATAACTCAAGGGGCTGTTTCTCGAAAGTTATAATTTGCAAATTACAACAATCAGGAATCTGCGTGAAAATCTGACTTGTAAACTCACAATGTACAAAACCTTGAGTTAAATAAAATAAAAAGTAACAGATACTATCCATTGAAGACCCTCATAACATACTGCACCACATCACTCTCAATGTATATATTTATTATATATATAAATCTGTTTATTTATATATATACTTTTTGTAATTTACACATATTTATACGCAACTTTAACAAAGAAGTCCCATGCACAATAATTTCTCTATAAATAGGCCTACAAGTTCTTTTCCACCATTTCTGGTACCTGTGAGACATTCTTATCCTCAGACTAGTGAATCCTCATTTGTATATATGTACACTCATTCAGGCCTTAAATGTACTTGGGGGCAGGATCCATGTAAAAAGCCTATCTTACAGTAATATAAACCAAGTAACTAATGGATTCACTTTAAGATGAGAAATTTCCTATTCGGTTACAAGAAAAAAAATGGTAACTGTGTACAAAAGGAAAAACAAACAATCACATACATCAATAATACACCGTTTTTACTTTCAATCAACATCAAACAAAACAAGTATTGGAGCAGGTGAAAACAAGACAGGAATTACACTTAAACAGTCACACAGGGTTGGTGAAGATAAAACAAACTGGTCTCCATATTTTTGTTTTAATAACAAATACTGTAAATACCTCTAACTATACACATTTCAGTAGTATATTTACAAGAACATGATCGAAGAGTTACACGAGGAAGAGGGAAAAACAAAGTTTTACAACAACAAATAACTAAACAAGATACTTTCAGTATAATAGTGCGTACTGCCCTATGAATGAACTTTTGCTCATAATCACATAACTGGCATGTGATGTTTTGAATAAAAACATTTCTCAGTCAAGATTACAGCAAACTTGTACAAAATGAACTCATCAGAAGAGCATTAACATGGGATAGAGTTTGAAGAATAGTAACTTTTTTTTTCTCTTTCCAGAATAAAATGTTACTTTTAAAGTCACACAACTACTTCTAACAAAAAGAATATATTCCAACCACTTGGTGATGGAGCTGAATTTTTTTTTATGCAGGAAACAGAATTTCTACATTGTTCTTTGGCGTTCTGGAAGGACAATTTGACAGATATGCAAAATCAACATAAACCATTGTGAATCTGCGGGCTTATTAAAACAAACCATAAAAGTAGTTTGTAAGAACAACAACACAATCAAGACCAGGGACGATAGAATTCAGAAGACATTTGTTTCCATGGGCATGACCATAATGCCATCAGAAAGTAGATGACCACAACAGCTCAGGTTTCAAGAAATTGGGTCTAATCAATTGAAGAGCATCTCATAATTATATAACATAGTAATAAAATTACTGGTAACTGATATTGCTCAAAGCAGCGAATGCATAAAATCTGATCACTCATAATTTAAAATGCAATGAAAGTACAATTGGAAGTGTATAAAAGTACACCATCTGTCTCAAAATTGAAACCCACAGAAAACATACTAAAAAATCCACAAAAACCTCATTTAGTTGGATCCTGCGGAAGAATGCATCACTAAAGCAGGTAATTCACAAATACATTAAGAAAATGAGTTGAAAAAGTATTACAGTACAGCTGGGAAGCTTAACAGCACGTTTCGATAATTGAATACTGTATGGCACATTTCAATTTTGAAGTCATTAGAAATTCAGCTACAGCCTTATTCAATGTGGAGCACCCACACACACCCTACAATGACAATTATCTGATCAGAAAATACCATGATAAAAGACAACTTTAACTAAAATATCTTGGTCACAAGTATTCCAAAGTCAATCAATCCTAGAAAACAGCACCATATCCTTGCTCAAATAAATTGAAATAACTGACAATCAATGAGAGCCCATTTAAATGCAAGGACCTGAGCAAGAGTATACAGGATTTACATGTTGTGTACATGGTACACTCAGTTAAAAGGGAAAGGGGAAAATTATATACCACTAATAAGTCTTAATAACTGTGACACAAGTATGCCATCATTTAGATGTTGGAGTTTTTGAATTCCCAACAAGCGTGATGGAAGTAGATTGGTCCTGCAACAATTTAGCAATGTCTTCATTGGCTTGAGCAGGATTTGATTTTAACTGTTGACTCAAGATATTTTTGTAAAATTGGAACTGCTCTTCGGTTGGCATGAACAGTTGTGGCGTTGACATTGGTAATGATGACATGGGTAATGCAGAGGCTGCAGCAGGGTTGTAAAACTGATTGTACGCCTGAGCCTGAGCCTGGTAGTACATTAAATCAATTGGAGGTAAAAATGCATTCTTCCCCGCGGCTGCCGATCCAGCAGGAAGGTTCTGAAGCAAATTAGGAAACAATGAAGCAGCAGCCCCAGAAAAGTAAGGATTACTGGCAGCAGAAGACACGGGTGTGCTAGAACTTCCGCGGGATCTTTGCTCATTTGAATTTCGACGTTTACTGTTATTATTACTGCCACTACTATTGGTGCTGCTACTACTACTGTTATTTCCTAGCATATAAGGGGATGATGGGATGACCAGACCGCCAGAAGGAGCATTGTTCACAGATGGTGGTCGACTTCTACTGCTGTTTGTTGTTGAGGCTGATGAGGAAGTATGGGGCTTGCCATTGTCCAATCTTGAGGAAGGGCGATTCAGAGGGGCAACAGATTTGGCTTGCTGCTGGGCTTGCCTTCTTTGTTGTAATAACACATTTCTTTGCTCTTGCTGTAGTTTTGCTATCGCGAGTTTCGGATTTTGCACTAGTGTGATTTCTAAATTGGACCCCACTGTGGTACGAGGAATGGTTGGTGGAGTAGCTCCTTGAGGGACGTTGGCTCGTCCTGAGTCCCTGATGGGAGGATGTCTGGGTGGAGGTACACTGGGCATAACACGGACCATGTCAACAGCTGGTTTTTCACCTTTACACCGTAAGTCTAACACATCCACACCACTCCCACTGCTAGGTCCTGACTTGGGGGTAATATTAAGCGTTGCTTGTAAAGACCTTGCAGGAGGTGGGGTCTGATTGTTGCTTGCTGTGCCCGAAGACCCGCCTGGACGAGGGTAATCTTTGGGGTTTCCATACCATACTCCCCCAGATGCATAAATTGATCGAGACTGGATGACCTTTGGAGGAGGTTGATCGTTTCTCCCATTCTGGCTAGCAGCTAAACCAGGATACATTAACAAAGGAGAATTTTTTAGATCTTGAACATTGATTACAGTTCTTGAATTTGCTGGGGATTGTGTTGATTCCAGAGGTGAAGCACAGGTTTCAGGTGAGCCTGCTTTTGGAGAGCCAAGCATGTGACTCAAGTCTGGAGTCACCATTATGGACACTTGGCCTGGTGGTGTGTCTGGACTCGGAGACGGTTTAACACTAGATCTTCCATCAGCATGGCTGGAACCTGATGAGCCAGGAGAGCCGATAGGGGTTACTTCCAGACCCCCTTCTTTAAGCATATCCAGTTTTCTTTTTTTGAGAACAGGAACCATCGGCGTAGTAACGTTTTTAATAGGTGTTTCCGATTCAGAGTCCAGCACAATAACCTCGGGAGAGTGAACAGTTCTTGTTGGGTCCCCCAATTCTGAGAGAGCACGGAACATGGACATAGGAATGTTTTCTTTACCAGAAAGATCTGATGATTTTTCTGGTTTTAGTCGAATACTTCGCAAAGATGAAGTTTTTCTTCTATCACTATCACTACAATCCTGTAAAAAGATTCCATAAATCATGAATAAAGTCATAATAACTTTAAATAAGAATTTGCAGTCAGAGAAAAACAAGACAAACCTTCATTTCTGCAGCACTTGATAGAGCATCTATCCATGCTTCATAATCTTGAGTAAATCCAGCTCGTTTCAAAACATCAGAGCGCAACTTCCTTTCATATGGTAAAAGTAATCTAAAGAGAAATAAAAAAAATAAAAAATAGATGCAATCTTAGAAGTTTAAGCCTAACAGCAATGCTTGCTATCCTCTTAGCAAGTTATATACATGCCTTTCATAGTGTCTTCTGGAGTGAGCAGCTGCACTAGTGTTTGCCGGATCCCCTCCCATTTCATCCAGGATAGGTTTCCACAAACGATTGGCAGTCACCCCTTCATACCCGCCAAGACGCTGAACTTTAGAGAAGAATTGGTAAAGGTCCACTGAAGAAAAGAAAGGAGAACAAAGCATTGTTAATGTATCCAAACTAATTCCAACGAAAATATTAAATCTTTCAAAAACAGCAAATTTTAACAGTTGGACTAGATGCACAACTTACTTTCCTTATACCCCACTAAGGGCACTTGCCTATGGGTGTTTGCCTGTCATTCATGAAGTCATGTAATCTATCCAGGAACATCTTCTCCTCATGACTTGCAGACTTGTGGCGATATGATGGTTGTGTAAGGTCATAGTGTAAACCGTTTCTGCTGCTTCTAGATTTCTTTTCCTGAAGAAGGGAAACAAAGAGAGAAAGCATAAAACTTAGTTCAATTGGTGTTTAAACGCATTTGGCAAAAGTTGAATCAAAACTAGTGAAACACAAACCTTTGTTGAAGACGATATGGTAGACAGAGACGATTCTGATTCATTAGAGTCTGTTTCTCCCGGTGAATTGGTCTTTTTCTTTTTCTTGGATCTCAAATTTATTTTAGGGGCTAAGTGATTGCAAAGGAGTTCATGTCCTTCAAGATCGGGATAATCAAAAGTGTCTTTGCAGAATAACACCCGAGTGTCACGACATGGAACTGAAAAGCCTCCCAAGCTTGGACCAATGAATTTCTGAGCCATTTGTTATGCACACCTTCCAACCTCTTCATAAGAGCACGATAGCGACAATATCGTGGGAAGCTTAAAACAACAACTCCACAGCTGTCCCATATTGAAGAATCTGTGCGACAAATAGAGATGAAATTAAAATAAAGGTAGTTAAGAAAATAGACATTGATTATGATACATTGAAGTTTTGGGTGGTACCTAGTTTTAACTTTTCTTCTTCAATATCGGTGAAGTCCAGACATGTATCACTGAGAGCCTGCAACCGAGTAGTAGTTGGAGGCCCATTGCCTGTCCTTGTTCCAGAGCAGTCTTTGTCCCAAACTGCTGGCAAGCCCCAGCTCCAAGATGCATCCTCCGTCAGCCATGTCAGCAAATCCTCACAGCGAATGACGACTCGTTCTGAGATGGCAAGGACTTCATGCTGCAACAAACAAAATGACAAGTAAGCACCAAAAATATTTATTTCATCAATCCGTTATCAAATTTAATCCTTTTCCAAAATTTCTTGCTCATCCACTTAATGATATTCTAATACTTTGACATTTTCAATGCCTTTAAATTAAAAACGGAGGGCTTAAAGAGCACAAAGACCCCTATTTGAAACTTTCCAATCGATCATTTATTTAATTAAAGGGATCAAGATCAAGTGCTAATAGGTAAACGAATCCAAATTTCCCTCCTAGGAGAGAAATTTCCCCGCGCGCGGCAACAGCGCCACGCGACACGCAGGACGGCAACAGCGCACCGAACACACGGAACGCACGGCACCACGCCGTCACGACATACGCCGCGACGCGCCGCGACGCCGTCGCCTCTTTCCTAGTTTCCAAAAACGGAAAACGAAAAGCCCATTCCAGAAAAGGGGCGATCGGGGCCACAAGTGGCGGTGACAGCCCGAATCGATTATTTGACCCCCCCCCCCTTTCCTCCCCCCGGCGGCCCTTTCCCCTCCTCAAGCCTCTCCATGAGTAGCGCCCTTTCCCTGTACAGTAGGACAGTCTCAAAACCACAGAGGGCAGACCCTTCTCTCTCTCCCTCTTCCCTTTCCCCAATCGTCCGTCTGCAGACAAAGAGTTCAACGCCGTTCTAAAGAGCGACAGGCGGACGCATTGCACACGCCTGCCTGCCTGTCTGATGCAGCCGTGCAGCCGTGCAGCCCAGGCCGAACGCCCCGCCCCGCCCCGCCGAGGAATCAATGTCGCCAGAGTCGCACGGTGCAGGGCGTGCGCGGCGTGGCCCATGCCAGTGCCGTGCCAGTGGCAGGGAACTCAGCCCAAAGATTGGACAAGCTGGAGAAGGAGGAGGAATAAGTGGGAGAGGGGTACGCCGGGCCACGCCGGGCCGTTGCACGAGGGGGAGCGCGTCCCGCCCCGCCCCTCGGTTTAGTTCGAGAAGCCGAGTTCGGCCATGGTTCGGCCCGCGTAGGCCCGCGTTGCCTCCTTTCGGCCTTCGGGCTAAGGGTGGAGGGCCGAAGGGCAGAGGCGCAACTAGCGAACCCTCGACAAGGCACACGGGCAACCAGTATTTGAACCCGCGCCCCGCCGATGCCCCCTCCTCTTCCCCCTCCCCCGCGGCGCGGCGCACGGCCACACGGACAGCGCGGCCTGCGCGCGGCGACGCCACGCCAGCCTCGCCAGCCTCGCCAGCCGGACCGAGCCGCCAAACAGCTGTAGGCACTGGATAAGCCTAAGCCCCACGGGCAGCGCGACCAGCACCGCCGACTCGGCGGAGTGGAAGAGTGTCCATTTCCAAACGCAAACGCAAGCCTCGGCGCGGCAGCGCCGGCAGCAGCGCGACGACGCCGAGGCCCGAGGCTCCCACATCACACCTCGGGGGAGGGAGGGGTGCACGTACTACGGGGTGCGCGTCGTACCTGAGACCGACAGCCCGACGGCCTGACGCGACGGCTGACGGCACGCCAAAAGCCGGGGACGCCGACAACGAGGAAACGGGGCCGTGCCGCACTTTGGGACGGAAAGAGGAGAGGAGCGAGGGGGGCGGGCTGCTGGTTACGCAACGCTGCGAACGCCGCGAACGCATTCGCAAGGCGGAGGACGATTCCCCTAACGATAGCGCACCGCTGTGGCACGCCGTCCAGTTCGGATGGGCAGGCGGCTGCGAGGACTACGTGGGGCGGACCCACGGATCCACACCGCGCCCCGCCCCGCCTTCCCTCGTACAGTACCGGAATAACCTAACCTTCCCCAGACAGGACCCTTGCAGGACCATGGAACCCGACCCGACGATAAGGGCACCGCGGCAGGGCCATGCAGGGGAAGCGAGTCCGTTACAGTAGTCCGTTCCAAGTTCCAAGATGGCGCTGGCCGTGCGCCTACACTGCAGGGCAGGCCGCAGGGCCGCAGGGCGACGCGCAGGACGGGCACGGCACAGGCCGCCAGGCACCGCCAGGCCGGCCCCCTCCTGAACCCTTGCCCGCCAGCCCGCTAAAGAAAGGTCCGTGCGGAACCGCAGGGCGATTTTTCGAAATAAAAGAGGCAAACGACACGGCCAGTGCCGCCGCGTTTCTTATCAGTACGTGGAGCCGAAGGACGGTTCAGTTCGGTTCGGTTCCTCCAGTCGGCGGTTGGGGTATCGCTCTCTAGTGGCGGCTTTAGCTAGGCGGCATCGCCGAGGTGCAGCCCAACACGTATCGCCGTAGACTCCCCATGGTACTCCGTATGTACTACTCCTACTCCATGCCGTCCCGCCGTCCCGCAATGATAGCAGTCCGCAACTCCGCGCCACTGCCACTCCGCCACTCCCCTCCCCTCCCCTCCCCGGACAGTCACCCCTACCAGGCAGAGCGGAGCAGAGCAGCGAGCCCTGCGGCTGCCTCCGCGCCCTCCTCGCCCTCCCCGCGCGGCCCGCGTACACTGCCACAAGCAGGAGGCAGGGGGCTCAAGATACAGCCACGAATCGCCGGGGTATCCCCACATAAACAACTTCAAAATTTAAAAAAAAAAAAAAATTCATTTTTGAAAAAAAATACAAATTAAAATTAAGCTACAAAGACAGCGTGGGGGTATTCGTTCATACAGTGATCGACATGGAAACCAAATAGTTCTGCCCATGGTGACATAACTGCGCGATTGAAACAGCTCCAAGTGACTGATATTGTTTTTTTTTCTTTTTGAGAGTGTAGGACGCGGTTTGTGTGCAGCGGGGTGGGGCCCGGGTTGGCTGGCTACGAGCGGGACGGAGCGGGACGCGTAAGCGTAGACTCAACACAGAGCGCCATTGGCTGCCCTGGGCTGGTGTGCCTGGCTGTGCCACGTACACACCTATCAATAAACATTCGGAAAAATTGTGCACGCAATTCTTCTTAAAGAAAAAAAAAAGAAAAATGCTCTGAATGAATAAAACATTTCGAGGTTTGTTTTTTTCGCGCGAAGCTCTTTTGCTATGTATGAAAAAGAAAAGTTGCAATTCCACGGACCTGGATTTGCAACAGTGTACACTGGTTCGATCCCGTGCCGTCGCATTCATGCCAGTGCGGATTCCGATTCGCATCCCCTCCCCACACCTCTTTGCCTTTGCTCTCTCCTACACTGCCAAGCGGCATTTCATTTTTATAAAAAAAAATGAACAATCAACTTATTTTAAAATTGTCATTTCTCTTTCAACGGGTAGTCTGGTGCGCACTTCGCAACCGGTACTTTGGTACTTGCAGTGCGCTTGGCCTGTCGCCGTACCCCTTCCCGTATTTGCCCTTCTCGGAGGAGGGGGAAATGGGGAGGGAGGAGGGGGGGGGGGAGGTCAGGAGGCGGCTACCGGTCGATGCCCAAAGACAGGGACAAAGACAGGAGCGTTTTAAAGGGCCCCTTGTCGTTCACCTATGTTATTGATTTCTGGCTGCACTACAAGGAGGGGTGGGGGTGGCGTAAACGGAAGGCGTCGGCAGCGGCGTCGTCGTCGTACAGTGCACATCGGGGGAGTGCTCTAAAAATAGGCAAACGCCGCCCCCCCTTCCCTTTCCCTCCTTCCCCAGCCGATTGGGAAAGGGGGGAAGCGAGTGGCTGCAGCGCCTGCATCCCCGGAAACGTTCGCGCGGCCGTGCCGTGCCGTGGCGTGCCGTGCCGCCGTCCGAAATGGGCCGCGCTGCGCGCAATGCCGCGTCGCCGCGTCCGCAGTCTACCTGCAGCCTGCAGGACCCTCACGGAGTCCCGGACAGAGTCCAGGGAGTCCGGGGCCTCCAGGACCGAATCCCCCTCCCCGCTTCGCGTGCGGCCGCCCGCTTACCTGCAACAAAACGACAAACAGGAATGTGAGCCAAACGAAACAATGCCCGAGTCAGCTTGCAGTTTACTTCCAGCGCCGGGCCAGCCGGCCAGCCGGCCAGGCCAGCCAGCTCAGGCCAGCCGGAGACAGCGGACGACGGCCCAAATGCAACGCACACTGGCCGACGGCCGAAGTGCTCCATGAACACTTGGAGCTCGCCGCCGACGTGAGGCCGCGCCGGGCCCTGCAGAGCGTCTCCACCTGGCTTCGCGGCCCTCACGGGAGTTATCTCGACGGCCTGCTGCCGGCCCACTATCAACGACACCGCCTAAAAACGCGCAACGCGTCCCACACGCATCAGCAGCGCGACAGCGTCAGCGCGTCAGCGCCTATCCGGCCGCAAGAGCGCGTTCCTGGAAAACGGTCGCGAAGAGGAAGAGGCCCGCGATCTGGCCCGCCGTGGCCATGCTGCATAGCGGCGGCACCGCGAGCGCCAAGAGCCAGTGCCTCCATTATCCGCGTGCGCAAGGTCACGCTGCAGACTGACTCCGAGAGTCGTTTTCGTCGCTCTGTCTCTCTCGCACTCGCGGGGCGAACCGTAGAGTGCGAGAGAGACAACGACTCCCAGCCTGCTGTCGCGCTTCACTCCATCCTTGGCCGCACCATGCCTGGCTGGGCCCGGCCGGCCCGGCCTAGAGCCCCGCGGAACGCCGCGGAACGCCGCGGAACCAGCAACCTCCAGGCCGCGCTCCCTATGCGTGCAGTAGTAGTCATAACCGATTGTCCGACTAAAACGCGACACTGGCGAGAGAGACGGGACTGGCGTTGCAGGCGTTGTTGCAGCGGCCACCTGCGACGATAACCAAAAGTGCCGCCGTGCCGCCAGTGGAGCCAGCCGCGTGTTCCATCGCTCTGTCTCTGTCGCACTCGTGGTGCGTCCCGTAGCGGTGCGAGAGAGAGCGACGACACGAAGCTTCGGAATCGCTCGTCCTGACAGCTCGACTGTCGTCCGCTTTCCTCGAGGCGCGGGGGGCCCAGCAGGCTGAGTCCGCAGGGGGCTCTCTCTCTCTTTCGCACTCATAACGTCACGTATAGGTGCGGCAGAGACAGACCGACGGCCGCACCGCGCAGAATCACTTTGCTGCAGAGGACAGGGCCAGGCTAGACCAGCGGTTCCCAACCTTGGGGTCGCGACCCCAAATG